GACTCTGGATACCTCAGGCTGCAGTAGCATCAGGTGCTTTAGGATGCAGTATCCAGGAAGAACAGCAGACAAAATTGTCCACTGCCTTTTTTCTTTTTTCATAATAGTGGTGCTGTTGCTTAAAGCACAGCTATTGGCTCAGATGCAGCTGTCTCCTTTAAGACAGCTTGGTGGCATTGAATTACTGAAGGCTTGCTCATGTTAGCCAAGTCAGTTTCCTGGCTTAAAACACCACTGAGGGTTGTTGTTGTTGTTGTTGTGTGTTCCTAGATATCCAAGTGAAAGAACTGGAAAAGCGTGCCTCTGGGCAGGCGTTTGAGCTGATCCTTGGTCCCCGCTCAAAAGAGGCAGCCCCAGAATTTCCTCTTTCTCCTCCAAAAAAGAAGGATCTGTCATTGGAAGAAATTCAGAAGAAACTGGAAGCAGCAGAAGAGAGACGCAAGGTACGTTTGAAACGACAGATTGGAGCGAGATCTGCAAGCAGTGGGATTTTCTTAAATACAATTTCTTTCTTAAGATGAGTGGTGAGCAGCTTATTTCTGGTATTACATTGTGGATGTTAATTTGGCTTTGTTAGGAACTCAGGTTTGTTCTTACAAAGCTTTATTCCCAAAATGGTTTTGAATGATCACTTGAAAAGCAGGGAGATATTTAGCTGGGAAGGGAGGCTGTTTCAAGAAAGAAGCTTTTCTTAATAGTACAGACTTAACTGAAGGATTCATTTTGTTCTACAATATCTGGTGATGAACCTGCAACTAGAATCCTTGTGAGTAAAGTACTTGAGGTAAGTTCCTGCTGTTCAGATGTGGTTTGGAGCCCTTAGCAGTGCAGAGGCTTACTAAGTAGGTTGCAGTCTCCTGTGCAACCAGAATCACAGTAACCCACCATATTGAGAAGCAGGAGGGTTGTAGGAGAGTTCTATAGGTGTTAGCATCAAATATCCTGCTGTGGTTTAGCCTGGCAGGCAGCTGAGCACCATGCAGTCATTTGCTCATTCCCTCCCTTCCCAGTGGGATAGGAGAGAGAATTGGATTAAAAAAAAAAAGAAATAGAGCTCAAGCTGAGGCTAAAAAAATATAATAATAATAATAATTTAAGATATGAGAAAAGGAAGAGGGGAAAAAGGCTTACAGTTCTGATCATTATTTATACGTGTGTATGTAGAAATAGGACAAGTCACATACAAGCAGTTGCTCACCACCCACTGACTGATGAACTTCCCCTTCTTTAAATTTACTTTCTGCATGATGTCACGCGGTGTGGAGTAGCCATTCTTTGGCCAGTTTAGGTCAACTGGCCTGGTTTTGTCCCCTCCCAGCCCCTTGTGCCTCCCCCAGCCCCATTGCTGGCAAGGCAGTAGGAGAAGCTGAGAAAACTGAAATGTTCTTGGTTCTCTGTAGCCCTGCTTAGCAACACCTAGAAGCATTGGTATGTTATTGACGCTGAAATCAAAGCATAACATCATACCAAACACTACTGAGAAGAACAGCTGTGTCTGCTGAAATGAAGACCTACCCGTACTGTTTGTTCTGGGAAGTATCCCGATGTCAAGGCTTCAGTTATGATAGAAATTTGCTTTCCTGTGTGGTTTGTAGTGATGAAATGTAGGCTATGGGGGTGGAGAAAGTACTAGGGAGCTTTGTATTGCATCAGGAAGTTATTTCGTTGTGGGGAAAATAGCAGAGAAATCTCTTCTTAGGAATTGCAAGCAACAGGATTGTAGTTGTCCTCATTCATCCGTTTCTGTGTTGAAAACGTGCGTGGTCTGTTTGTAGTCTCATGAAGCAGAAGTCTTGAAGCAGCTAGCTGAGAAACGGGAGCATGAAAAAGAAGTGCTTCAGAAAGCAATTGAAGAGAACAACAACTTCAGCAAAATGGCAGAGGAGAAGCTGACCCACAAAATGGAAGCTAACAAAGAGAACCGTGAGGCACAAATGGCTGCCAAACTGGAACGCTTGAGGGAGAAGGTGAGTGTAGAGTCCTGGTTCTGTATGGGAGGGAATGTATGAATAAAGATAGGAAGAGCCAGGTGAGGGAGCAGACAGATGTCCTTCAGTGTTCTGTGGAGCTTCTAATTTTAAAATAAGATCATTAAATCCACAAAAGGGTTGGTAGAAATGCTCCATCACCCCACAAGAAATCATCCTTGTGGGTTGATGGGGTGAGACTGGGCTGCTTGCTCTCAGGAAGCTTCATTCTGTAGCCTTCTTTAGTAACCCCCATTGGGAACCTGCTGTGAGCTGAGGAGTGGGAAGCAAGCTGGGGTTTGCTTTGCTGTGTGCCCTGCCTCTGGGCCTGGGGGGCTGATGTGTCCCTGCTTGTGTCTTTCAGGACAAGCATATTGAAGAGGTTCGAAAGAACAAAGAAGGCAAAGACCCTGGTGAGGCCGAAACCAACTGACTTCATTCTGGAAACTGACATTCTCCCCCTCCTCTAAATATCCAAAGACTGTACTGGCCAGTGGTTTTGCTTTTTGGTTTTGTTCTTTTAAGTTTCTAGAAACTGATGTAGAACTGTAAAGTTAGATCCAAACTGTATGCTTTCTTTGGGGACTAGAGGGGAGACCTTACATGTTTCACTTTTTCTAAAGTTGTCTTTCCAGTGTAGCTATCTTGTTGCATCCTTTTCTACTCCAGAGCGCTTGCTGCTGGATTGATGGCTAGTACTGTATCAGCTCTGTAAGACATTTGTGAAAGGAATATGTAGTATACTGTTCCATGCTGAATACCTGTTACACTTCAAAAATCTGACTGTCCCAGTCTTTTAAAATACTGCTGTAACTGAGTGACTAAATAAAGCTGCACAGTGCTGTTATCATGAGAATGATTTCTGTAAATGACATAAACAGTTGGCTGAGGCCTCCAGCAGGCATCCTTACCCAGCACTGCATTGAAAGCTCTGTAACAGCACTTTTCCTTACATCCATGGGCATGCTGCATAACTGGCTCTTCCCTAGAGCGCTTTCATTGTCTCAGTTTTACAATAAGAGCTTTGTTTTGACACCTCAGCAGTTGTCAGCTGTTGTGTTTTTGTTGAAATGCTTCAGAACCACCTCCCTTCAGATGCTGATGCTTCAACAAACACGTCTTTGTGGCCACATGACTCTGATCTGACCCTTCTGTTTTTTTGGGAGGGGTTTCTGGATGGTAACTTGTGCTGTTGAATTGGGACTTGTGTACCACTTCCTGCAGCATCACAGAGCTTTGAAAGCCAAACCGTTCTGTGTTGGCATCATGTGCCTCCCCCAGCAGAGTGCTGTTAGAGATTGTTTTCGATTTGATGCCTGCTGCAGATGTGTTGGAGTAAACTGCTGCAGGGTGAGTCTGAAGATAGCTCCTGCCACGGGAACACGTGCTGTGTTTGTTTCTCTGGGCAGTGAAGCAGATGCAACTGTACTTGTGCTGTGAGTAAAGATGCTTTTCAGGAGGAGAGTGTCTGCATTGTGCAGGTGCTTTTTTAAAAAACAAAAAACTACTTTAAGATTATTGTCTGGCACACCCACAAGAACTCATGCTGCTCTCAGTAAAGACAAGATTGCAATTAGGGTGAGTTAATAGCCACCCCCCTTTTCATTATGAACAGTGCCCTGATCTGAAGGAGTTGGCTTTCGTGGTTCCTTCCCTCAGAGCAGGGAAGCTCAGTGTTCTGCAGCTTCTGTCAGGCACAGAGAGGCTCTGCTCTGAGGCCTGTCCCATCCTGCCTTCCCCCACCTGTGTCCTTGATTTTTGGGGTTTGCTGCTGTGTTTGCTTGGGTTTAATTCATGCCTGGATCATCTGGCACCAACCTGGTGACAGTTTGATATTTGGAGGATGGAAAACGAGGTGAGGATTTCTTTTATTCAGTGGGTATTATTGAGTTCTGGATCGTTTACCTCTGGGGCTTGCTAATGAGGAAATGTTTAGGGAGCTTTCATATTTCATGCTTATTGCTTTTGATTGTATTGAACTTGTACTTAAATAGCAAAAATGGAAAGGGGAGGAGGATGTGGGGTAAGGCTTCTGTTGAAACAGAAGGAAAAGTTGGCCAATACAGTGACATAAAGCCAACAGTGGTAGGTGGGATGGCTGAGATCCCATGTGAAGGATTCTTCAATGCTGGTGTCACATACATGACAATTTAAAATGAGCTGTGTCTGCCTGTGAGCACCCAGCCAGCTGCAGTGGGGTACAGTGTGATTTATGGGGCTGGAGGTGCGTGTTACTGCCATGTAAGCAGAGAGTATGGAAATTGGTGTGAGAATCCACCTGCAGAGGTGAAGAGGAGTGAGCAATGTGCTCATTGTGGAGATGGGCTCAAAGCTGTGAGTGTCTTTCTACTGCCTTGTAGAGGCTTAAGTCATCACTGAATCACTTCCTTTATTTAAGATCATACTTCAGTAGCAATGGAAAAAAATAAATCAGCTCTTCAGTTGAATGGGTTCATCTGCTGCCTGAGCAAAACCCAAGTATCCCTAATGCTGGAAACCCCCCCTTCTTTTTGGGGGAGGAGAGAAGGATGACAGCGCTGCCAGAACCCAACTGGCACTAAGAACACAAAGGCTTTTAAAACACGAGTTTCTGACTTGCCAAAAGCTGTCAGATGCAAACTTGGGCCCTTCTGTTCCTTCATCTTAGTTCTTTCCATGGCTTCTGCTGTGAGCATAAACGGAGCTGAACTCCTTAGAGAGGAGTTGGGAGGTGGGAGTGAAGCTCGGGGAGGTGAGTACTGAGGAAGGAGGAGGAGAACAGCCATTGTGCTCAGGCAGGAAAGTGAAAAAGCTGCTTAAAAATGACTACACGAGCTCATAGCTGCCTAACTCGCTAGTCTTTGATTCAGTAGCGAGTTACAAAAACGATGAAGCCTTATTTGGGCTGCAAGGGTGATAGGAGTAAGGAAGAGGAATAATGACATAAAAGAGGGAATAATACAAACGAGGCTTTCCGATAGGCGGAGGCCGAGCGCTGCTCTCCCGCTGCCCCCTCCGCACCACGCAGGGCGGCGGCGTTTCCCGACGGGGCGGAGCGGATCCGGCGCCGGGGCGGCCGCTGACGGAGGCTCCGTCGGAATCGGTGCTCCGAGAAGAGGTCCGCAGGTGAGGGCGGGGGGCTGGGATGGGGAAGGGACCGTCCGGGGTTGGGATGGAGCTCCGAGGGGGGTCGTGAGGAGCTGAGCTGGGCGGGACCGGCAGCGGAGCGTTGTGCTGCGGGATGCTGAGCGCCGTCCGTGCGGCGGAGAAGGGCTGAGGCTGAATCCCATCCAGAGAGTGGGCGGGTGCTGCTGGGGAGAAGAAAGCTCCGCAGGGAATAACAGGCGTTAAAGGCAGAGTTGCTGACATCTCACGGTTGTGTGGAGGCTGTTGTTCCGAGATCAAGTCGGGTTAATGATTGCTGGTACCGTGCAGAGCTTGATCTGCTCATACCGAACGTTGCTTCAGGTTTTGCAGCTAGGAAGAGCTTTGCAGATTAAGTCCTGCTCCGACAAGTTGCGGAGAGCCTATGCCATGCTGCGGTGCCTTTCCTGCCCCGTGCTGGGCTGCTCTGGGCATGCGTTTCCCTTGGCCTCACCCCAGCGTTCCTTCCAAGGGCTTTTTGCAGCAGAACCGTCAGGGGCTGAAGCCGGAGCTGAGCCACCTTCCCATGTGCAGGCACAGGACGAGCTCTGCGTGCGACACCAGGGCTTTGTTTTGGAAAGATTCGGTCAAATCAGCCTCACCCAGGCAGTTCTGTTTTTGTCAGCAGCACAAGCTGCTGCAGCACTGCGACTGTTTGAGATCAGCAGGTCTGTGAGTATGGAAGGTTCACTAAGTTGGCTTTCCCTGGGCGCCCTGCCCGTGTCACGGGAGGTCGAGCAAGGACAAGGGTCGCCCTGTGCCAGTGGCTGCTGTTGGTGCTGTGCCTCAGACACCAGGCAAGGTGGGGAAAGAGCATTTAAGAGGGAAGCCAAGCAGTAAACAGCTGATTTTATCTGCATTTCTGCCCCTCAGCTTCAGGCAGGCGTGAGCTCTGGACCTATCTGCTCCATTCTGATGAGGAAATTCTAGAGGTGGGTTTGTTGATTCTGTTGTTGCTTGTTTTTAAATCCAGTCCCATTCCCTCCCCCTCCTATTTCCAAACTTTGAAGAGCTTTTCCTGGCTGAGCCATACTTGAAGTGACTGAACTTGGCAGGAGCCGAGGCTTAAAGCAGCACCAGAGCTGGGCTGGTTTCTTCCCAACTTGTCTGAGCAAGAGCAGGTAAAGAGTGGGGTGGGGGATCAACTCGAGGAAATTCTGTTCAGTTCTTAAGGCTGCTGTGAAAAGGCAAAACAAGCTGGGGAGGCTGCCTTTATCTCAGTAGGGACAGCAGCTGCAAAAATGTAAATATGGAAAGCTTGCTCACTGAGATTACGCTGCTGGACATCAGTGATGCAACCGGACAAACTTACTCAGGCTGCACTGTCTTTGTGTGAAGCCACATGGAAAATGTGGAGCTGGAAAACGATGCTGAGAACTCAGACCTTCTCACTCACGTGTCCTGTTTCTGATGTTGCAGTTATTTGTGGTCTCAGCGGTGTTGCAGGGCAGCTGCCAGCCTGCTTGCAGGATGCTGCTCCTTGCAGCTTGGGAACACAGATGCTGCAGGCAACCAGCAAGGGAAAGTTGAGGCTGTTGCTGGAGGGGGAAGTTGTTAGAAACTAAACTACAGGAAGGGAGTGAGCTGAACTTCACTAGGAGCCATTGTGCCTTGGAGAGTTAATTACAGTGTTACAGAGCACTGGTATGGGGTTAATTACCTCTCTGCTCTTCCAGATGGTGTCACCTGTATGGAATGGGGCACAGCGGTGGCACTGCTGAAGCATCCCTTCCCATTCCTTCATATTGCTGTTTTTAGTGAATCTGTTATGTCAGCTGTAACGAGGCCACTCTTCAGTCATGAAGGATTTTACATATGAGAGGGGAAAAAAAGGCATTCAGGCAGCCTCTTTGGTAAAGTTATTACTAAACCCCACAGCAGAACTGTCTTTTTGTCCCAAGGTGCTTTCGAGCAACGAGAGCTGCAGTGTGGCTGCGCCATGGCAGCGGTGGTGGCAGAGAAGCTCAGCCGCCTCTTCATCAACGTGCGCCAGGTCCCCCAGCTGCTGGCTCCCCCACTGCCCACCACTGTCAGCAGCTCTGAGGTGCCGAGGGTTTTCTGGAAGCCTTATATCCACACCGGCTATCGCCCGGTGCACCAAACCTGGAGCTATTACTTCTCCACGCTCTTCCAGCAACACAACGAAGCCATCAATGTGTGGACTCACCTGGTGGCAACACTGATCCTGCTGCTGCGCTTCCAGCAGCTCTCCCAGAGGGTGGATTTTGGGCAGGACCCGCACGCCCAGCCGCTCCTCATCATCATCACGGCATCCATCACCTACCTGACGTTCAGCACGCTTGCTCACCTCCTGCAGGCCAAGTCTGAGTTCTGGCACTACAGCTTCTTCTTCATGGACTATGTAGGGGTGGCCATCTACCAGTATGGCAGTGCGTTGGTGCACTACTACTATGCCATCGAACCCAGCTGGCATGAGAGAATCCAGGGCTTTTTCATGCCCACAGCTGCACTGCTGGCCTGGCTGTCATGTGCAGGCTCATGCTACGCCAAGTTCCACTTCCATCAGTCAGCATGGCTGCTGAGCCGGCTGTGCCAGGAAGTGCCCTCGGGCCTGGCCTACCTGCTGGACATCAGCCCTGTTGTGCACCGCATCTGCACCGCATCGCCTGCGGAGCACACGGACCCGGCCCTGCTGTACCACAAGTGCCAGGTGCTGTTCTTCCTCATCGGTGCCTTTTTTTTCTCCCATCCTTACCCAGAGAAGTTGCTCCCTGGGAAATGCTATTTTTTTGGGCAGAGCCATCAGATTTTTCACGTCTTCCTGGTGCTTTGCACTCTGGCACAGATCGAGGCCGTGGTGCTGGACTATGAGTCCAGGCGGCACATCTACTCTACGCTGCAGGGTGACCTGGCACACCACTTCTCTGCCCTGTGTGTCCTCACTGTGACGTGCTCTGTGCTCACAGCTGCATACATGGCACGGAAAGTGAAGGACAAGCTGAGCTTCAAAGAAGACTGAGATTCAGGGCATAGTGGGGGATGCCATGGCCAAAGCTGCATGCTCTGAGAGGAAGGAAGTGCTTTGCAAACTGTCACTTGGCACTGCTCTCCCCAGGGAGGGAGAATAAGAGCTGCTCTTCGTGCTTTTTAATTCAGAATTAATCCCATCTTATTCGTGAAATAGTTCACTGATTTAATTCCAATATCTGAATAAACAGATAAAACCACATGGCAATGTGGTGCAGCCTGGTCACTGCTGAGCCCTGTGTGCTTTGTCCCAGGGTCCCCACAGCTGTCTCCTCCACTCCATCTCAGCAGCAGTGGGGCTGCATACCTCTCACAAGGGGCAGCTGCAGATGGGACGTCTGCATGGCCTCTCCCAGCCCTGCTCTGCTTGCATCTCTGTATGTCTCCAGGAAGGCTGTGGGGAGCAGTGTGTTGCAATGCAGGTGAACGATAAGCACTGCTCCCTCACCTTGGCTGAAGATGTTATCTTGCAGGACACTGTCCACTTGCTCAGATATGAGCTGCCTTTGGTAAATCTGTGCTGCTTTTCCCATCCCTTGCTTTGTTTGTGTGGTAGTAGCTTCCAGACTCGCTCTGTTGCTTTCCTGGGGTCTGAAGGGCGATCTGGTGGGGACTGAGACCTGGGGGATCCGGAGGAGCTCTGCACCCCTGCACAGCAGCAGTGCACAGCCTCGATGGGGCAAAGCACAGAACCCCAGAGCAGTGCAGGGCAGCTGCAGAGCCACAACTGCTGCCCTCCGGCTCCAGCACAGCTGCTGCTCTGTGCCAACTGGTGCTGTGCCAACCTCTCTTTGTTTGAAGATGCTGAGACATGTCAGGTTGGTATTTCTTGGCTGTAGGAATGGCATCTAAATGTTGCCACCTTTAATCTACAAAATTCCCAGGCTGGGAAGTCGTGAACATTACTGAGCTGTCTCTCAGCTTAGTGTGGAACATTGGGTGCCCTGCTGCCTTGCAAGGAGCTTTTTGCAAGGGAGTGAGGAACTTGTGCAGGAATAAAGAACATCCCCAGTAGAAATGCTGCACACTGCCTAAGCTTAAAAATAACCAATGACCAAAAACCACCTTAACCTTCAGGTTAAGTAATGCCAGGCCATCCTCAGAAATAGTGCTTAGGAAAGCAGACCCACCAGCCTGCATCTACTGGTTTGCATGGACATCAATACCAATTGATCCCATACACCAGCACTGAGAATGGTGGAATGTCAGCAGTGTGTCTCTATACAGCACTCTGCAATCTGCTTTCTAACACAGTACTGCTGCATTTTGCAGTCATGGACAATGTGAAATAGTATGATTGTCTGAATTTATTGGTATTGCAGTTCATCCTTTGTGACCCTGACGTAACCATGGAAACAGAAGCATCCGAGTGAGTCTGCACTATGCTGACAGCCCATGGGACATTGCTGATGTCTGTGCTCTGGTTATCCAGTTGGTCGTTGTGGGTCAGACAAATTGAGTAGGAAATAAAAATCAATTCTGCACATGAAGCGCACAGTACTGATGAGTAGGAATGAAAAGGTCTTGGGAGAACGTTCCCCTGATCAAAGGAATTTTAGGGAGTTTGACCCTGAGCTTAGAAAACGCCATTGAGTAGTTAGGTGAAACATAGAGTTATTTTAAAGCAAAACCAACTACAGTAAAAGTGAGTGGAACAGGTTGCCCAGGGAGGCTGTGGATGCCCCATCCCTGGAGGCATTCAAGGCCAGGCTGGATGTGGCTCTGGGCAGCCTGGTCTGATGGTTGGTGACCTGCAGACAGCAGGGGGTTGGAACTGGATGAGCATTGTGCTCCTTTGCAACCCATAGATGATTCTATGATCTTGACCTGAAAGAAAGCAGTGCTCTGTCCTGGCACTGCTAAATGCTGAGTATTGGTGTGCCAGTCCACGTAATCAGTTATAGCTGCAAAATACCTGCACTAAAGCACAGAGCAGCGCATCACTAGCATGAAGTTGTCACTGGATACTTCCAACACTTCCTCTAATACCTGAGGTTATCAAACAGAGCTTCAGCATCTTTGCAAAGTTTGGGAGGCATCTGTAGACCGTCTGGATGGATGAAGATCCCTCTGAAGCAGCAGCAGGATGATGCCTCAGAGCTGCTGCAAGTGCTTACCAGAGAGCACTGGTGGCACAGCCGGAGCAATCGAGTGCTTCCCTCACTGCCACCGAGCTGTGAAATCGGACGTGACCTATTGACTGATCCTCAGACCGAAATTAAAAGGTATCGATGGGCTCTTCGGGGCTGTTGTAGAGGAAGTGCATTCATCCTATGCAGGACACTTGTAGTGGCGATGCACTTGAGCAGGGCGCTGATCAGAGAAACCTAAAGGAGTGCCTAGTGCCACGTCTTGGCCTCATGTTGGACTGCTATGGACCCGGCCATCCCTGCCTTATCTCTGCCTGTGCTGGGAAGCTCAGACACAGCAGATGTACCTCTTTCCTTTGGAGGATGAAAGGGAACGTGGTTGGTAGGAAGCTCAAGCTGTGGATTTCTCATTTCTAGCCTTTCTTTGAATGTGGTTTCACCCTCCCCATAAATATTAATTTGGTCACCGTTGAGTCGTGCTCAGAGCTGTAGCAGACGGACCAACACATTGATTTTCTCCTCCCTCCATCCCCAGCAAATATAAATCCAAGTGTGCAGAGCCTGCATTCCACCAATTGCTCGGGTGGTGACATGAACTGTTCGTAATGTGAAATCCAACGCACACGGATGGAAGATGTCAGGGGTTGTCACTGGATACCATAGAGCTTAATTTTACACATTTGCTGTAAAGAAAGGTATGTTTTATTTCTAATGTGCTGTTTATTTTCACTTGTTTCTCTTTTATGATGTCTGACACTTATTTGCCAGTTTGAAAGTGTATTTTCATGTTTAATAGCTGTCTTAATGTAACATTTCCTCTGCAGTCAGCAATATTGTAGCCACAAGGATTTAACATCCATTTACTTCCTTAATATTCTTGTTTTACAGTGCCAAGATTAATTACATCGGAACGGAAAGCTTTGTGTTCAATGACCTATGTACTAAAAAATCAGATCATGCTGTTTTTAATGTGACTGAATTCCAAACAAAGTAATGTTATATCTATAAACAGAACTGTTTATGAAACCAGCAGATAATTTTTTGCATAAGTCATTCTTTTTTTCATAGGCTCGTGGGCAAAGGTAGCAGCTCTTGGTTCTTGGACACTGTTCTGTACTTCAGACAGAGGTGTCATCAAGCAGAGGGAATTGGACTGGCGATGGGGGTTTGTTTATTTGCTTAGCACTGTCATGCACAAAGAGAAAGCAGTTATTTGCTCTCAGTTTTATGCTTAAAAATCCTTAAAAATAATCGATCACTGCCTTTTTGTTGTGTTTTAGGATCCTCATGAGATCCTAAGTGTAACCAGATCTCATGGCAAAAAGTTAACAGGACAGAACCATCACTTCAGCTGCAACACATTGCTCACAACACTGAAAATGAGGGCCAGGAAGTATTTCTCTGTTTGTCTGCAAATCATAAAAACTCATTGCCTTCTCAGGTATCCTACAGATAAACATCCCACTCTCACAGTGGGATCTATTGGATGATGGAGAAGCAGATCCCTGGATGCCCAGTGCTGCTGTGAGGCAGGCACTGTATTTTCCACTGATTCAGATGCACAGGGGATGCTGCATACCTCATAGTCACATCCTTGTCTTGGGTGTCTTTTAATGATAAATTAGAGACAGGTGGATGCACTTCTTTGTCTTTTAGCTGAGAAATAACAATGCCTACAATGCCAACGAGTCATGCTGCAATTGACACCATGTGATGGTGTCATTTTTTTGTAATGAATTTAAGAAGGGCTTCAGCTTTTACAATATCTGATGCTTGCTCTCTCATATGTTCTAGTCTTAAAATGGCACAATAACCATGGGAGACTGGAATTTCCTTGGAGGCATTCTGGAGGAGGTCCACATTCACTCCACTATAATTGGCAAGATTTGGCTAACCATCCTCTTCGTGTTCCGAATGCTTGTCCTTGGAGTGGCCACCGAGGACGTCTGGAATGATGAACAGTCAGAATTTATTTGCAATACTGAGCAACCTGGCTGTAGGAACGTGTGCTATGATGAGGCCTTTCCCATCTCTCTCATAAGATACTGGGTCTTGCAAGTTATCTTTGTGTCTTCTCCTTCTTTGGTGTATATGGGTCACGCCTTATACAGACTAAGAGCCTTAGAGAAAGAGAGACAGAAGAAGAAAGCTCAGGTGAGAGTGGAACTTGAAAGCACTGAACTAGAAATGACAGAATATCGGAAAAGGCTGGAGAGGGAACTCCGGCAGCTGGACCAAAGAAAGCTGAACAAAGCACCCCTGCGAGGTTCGTTGCTCTGCACTTACGTGATACACATTTTCACTAGGTCTGCAGTGGAAGTCGGTTTCATGATTGGGCAATATCTGCTTTACGGGTTTCGCCTGGATCCCCTTTACAAATGTCAAAGAGATCCATGTCCAAACGTAGTCGACTGCTTTGTATCACGGCCAACAGAAAAGACGGTGTTCATCCTATTCATGCAGTCAATAGCGACCGTATCATTGCTTTTAAATGTCTTAGAAATTATCCACCTCGGATTCCGAAAAATTAAAATAGGTCTCTGTGGGCAGGAGGAAAACAAGGATTACCGTGGCAATTTCTACACAAACAAATCCAAGAAATACTCTGTGATACCCCGCTCTTCTCTGGGTATATCTGCAACTCCTCAAAAAACTCTCCCTTCTGTACTTAGCGGTTATGCCTTTTTAATGGAAAAGCAAACCGACACTGCCATCTACCCGGTCTTAAATTCTGCTCCCACGTTCCCCTCTATTCAAAATAACCACACAGAAAATAGAGGCAATTACACCCACCACAATCAGGACAACAAACTGCCGAAGAAAAAGCCAGCTACAGATGCTTTAGCTGGTCAGACTCAGAAAGCTAGCACAAACTGCACTGAAGGCTTGCTGGGCAGGCCTGGGACTGAAAGGAGGAATTCCCAGAAAGAAGCTGATCAGAAACACTTCCTTGCTGGTACTCAGAATGCAGATACCGCTTCAAGAAGCTTTGCTGAGATGCTGTCGCAGCCCCCTCTGCAGCCTTTTCCCGTTGCCAGCCTGAGAAGACAGCACGGAATCATCTCCTCCTGGAACTGCTCCGCAGCGGCCGAAAGCGTCGGATCCTCCACCAATTCCCTCACAAAAAGCAGCAGCAGGAGACGGAGCAGCCTCAGCGTGAGCCAAGGCCAACTGCCCCCCAAAGCCGACACCCGGCACCCCAGCCGCCCCGACACCCCCGACTCGGCAGGGGAGGCCAGCACGGGCTCCAAGCAGAGCCAGGGCTGCGGCAGCCCCCAGCCACTGCCCTTATCTGGGCGTCCATCGCTGTCAAGCAGCGCGAGCAGCCGGCGGGCCCCCACCGACCTGCAGATATAGCATGGCTGCCCAAGCAGTGTGCTTGGCTAGCTGCCGGGCTTTGTGATAGAAGCAAGAGCAGCCACGAGCAGCTTTCTAGTTCAGTTTTAGCCTTCCGCAGAGGTTAAGGTAGAAGTTGTGCAGCCCTTTTGCTTTTAGCTAAATGACATCTGAACCATCTGCTTGCTTCGCTGGCAACGGAGGGATGGCTTAAACCTCTGTGCCAAGCTTCTGCATTAACCTTCCAGCTGCAAAGGAAAATGTACATCATATAAATCCACATACAAATCCACACATGAGAAGTCAGGATTAAAATTATAGCTGGCGATATGTAAGCCGGCTAAAAGTAGAAGACAAAATTCCAGTCTATAAATGTATTTTATGAAAACTAGTAAATGAAATTAGGTGAAAAAAAAAAGGCACTGAGATACCTGAGAGAAAATAATTAACAATAAATAACATTCTTAGAACCAGGAAACCAGCACGATGCTTTCGCTTGCAGCCATTTGACCGCATCCACATCAAGTGTTGGAGTCATTAAAATCATTCTCTGTAGGTGTTTCTCCAGCAGCTGTTGTTTTTCTCTCTGTTCTCATTCTGTGTGTATTCAGTTACAGCTGTGGGTAACCGTGGGCGCTGTGGGGTTTGACACCACGGACACACACCAGTGCCATTTTGCTCATTCTGCCATTTAACCCCTGCACTCCCTGCAGGGTCTGCGAGCCACATTTTGCCATTCGACACCTCAATAGTAAAACACGCATTCGCTGCATAGGCTAAAGAGCAGAAAGACGGTGCTGAGGGGCTCGCGTGTGGCACGCAGTGCGCTTCTGCCCGCTCGAGGTTAGAAAGGACCCCGACTGGCAGCCGCGGGGCTCTCAGGTGGGCGGTTTTTGATGGCCACATCAACTACGCTGCCCACACCGACACTTGAAGGCATTGCGCAGGCGCAGACCTTCAGCGACCGGAAGGCTCCACGAGGCTCGGCCAATCAGCGGCCGAGCCGAGAACGAGGCAGAAGGCGGGACTTCCGGTTGCATCGCTATGGCAACGGTAGGAAGCCGGGGCGCCATAAAGGAGGCGGGCGCGGGCGGTGCGGGCGGTGCGGGTGCTGCGGGGTAGATGGCGCACCACAAGGTAGGGGCTGCGGGCCCGCGAGGGGCGGCGGGGCATCCCGGTGCTCTCCTCAGCGCTGGGGAGGGGCCGCTCCGCCCCGCCGAGCCGCCTCCGTAGGCAGAGGTGCGTCGGCGCTCTGACCGTGTGGGCGTCCTCCTTCAGGCCGCGGACTCGAAGCGGGAGCAGTTTCGGCGCTACCTGGAGAAGTCGGGGGTGCTGGATACGCTCACCAAGGGTAAGGCGGCCTGAGGGCCGGGCCGTGGTGCTGCCGGAGTTGGGCGTTGGGACAGAACAACGGGACGGCGCTGCTGGGAGCGGGGCTGCTAACGCTGGGGAGATCGTGGGTCTTTGTGGAAGCGGCTGTATTTATCGGGATAGGGAATAAAAGCACGCTGCGAGCTCAGCACGCTTATTTCTTTATTGCTGAGGTCCTTTAAATTATCTGTATGTGTTCTCGAGAACTTTTCAGCAGGATGTTGGTATTCCTGCTTGATAAATTGTACTGTTGGTGGGGTGTAGCAGCTGTACGGCTCTGTGCTGAGCCTTTCCTGGTGTGTTGGGGCCCTTTGGTTTCCTGTAGGTGTTGCTGTGTAAAGTGTGACAGCGAAATAAATCTTCCAAGCCCTGTGGCAACCGAGTTTTGCTTCTAACTTAAGTGCTTAGCTTAAAACCAGCTTGCCTGTGAAATTCATGTGGCTGAAAGTGGGAGGAAGGCGCTTAAGCTCTCTGCAAGTAGTGCTTGAGCAGCATTTATGAAAGCAAACGTATGGAAGTGCGTGCCTCTGGTGTGTGTGTGTGTTACATCACTTATTTTGTCATCCGTACTCAAACCCTGTGGTTAGGTCAAAAAAATCCCTTCTGCTCAACTGTTGAAGTGTGGGGTGCTCTATTTCCTCCTGTACAGCTCTGTCCTTATGAAGGATGTGGGTGAGCATCTTCTTAAACAGGAGAACATGCTGTAAGCATGGCACAGAACTTTTATGCATTCTGACTGTTGCTTTGAAAACTAGAGTCGCATGGATGTCTTGTAATTGAATATTTTATATTTGCAGTGTTAGTAGCCTTATATGAAGAGCCAGAGAAACCAAGTAGTGCACTGGAGTATCCTTTTTGTCCTCTATCCTATGAATTGTTTCTTGCTGTTATAAGCAGCCTGCTCTGTTTGGTTATTCTTTCACTGTTTGGAACACAAACTGATAATTTTTAACCAAAAAAGACGTTGGTGTAGAAAAAATGTGAGTAGCTGTCTTGTATGTACTGATGTCTTTCTGTAGAATACAACAATAAATTTAGGAAGCTTTCTTATTTTTCCAGCTTCTTTCTGTAGGATGAGAAGCATGGCAGTAATTTGAGTGATTTAAATGCTGTGCCGGTCATGTTTATTGCAGCACTAATTTATGATTAAATGTTAAAACCAAGTGTCTTTCTGTCTGAGGAAATACTTAACATGTAAATATCAGCTTTCTGAAGCATCACTTGGGAGCTTCAGCTCCCGAGAGTCCAGAAGTGGAGGCACTTCGCTTGGAAGTAGCAGAGATGAAGGAAAAATATGAAGCCGTGTTGGAAGAAAATAAAAAACTGAAAACCAAAGTAAAAGTCTATTTAATATTCCTAAGTACTTCCGTGTGTGACAAGAAGAGAACTTGGACACTTAGAATACAGCTAACTTTCACTGGAATAAATGATGATGATGTTAAATTGTTCAGCCTTGTGGCTGAGGAATGCATTTCATTCCTTGCTTACCTGCATGTAGCTTCTGGTGAGGGACTCGTATTCTGGAATGCAGTTTTTGCTAACTACAGACTTTTCTTCTTACAAAATAAGTAAAATAAGGCATCTTGGGAGACTGAATGATGAGATGAAGCTTCCCATTTGTTTTGATCTGATACTGTATAGCTTGTGGGTTCCATAAGAGCTTTGAAAAGAAGGGCTGGGGGAAAGCTAATGCATTACTATGAAGGCTTTCCAAAGGCTGAATGCAGGAGGGGAACTTGGGTACATGTCTGTAGCAGGGTTTTACCAGGGGAGGTCACCCTTACCCCTGTGGGACATTAACTTGTGCTGCAGCCAATACAACTCTGGAGCTCCTGTGTCTCTTAAGATGTGACATCTAACTGAATTCCTCTCTTTAAATCCACAGCTGGCTCAATATGAACCACCTCAAGAAGAGAAGCGTGATGAATAACAGTAGTTTCTCCTTTCATACCTTGACTTAATAAAGGGCTTCCTGAGAACTGCAGTCCTGTCTCTTCTGTGTGAGCGCTGCGTGTCTTTGTGGTGCCTCATCTTAAAGGGAAACTAGTGAGTGTGCAGCTGCTTTTGTGGTTGTTTGTTTTAGTTCTGTGTCTGTGGTTGAGCCAAAGAGAATAAAAGGGACCTGAAAGAGGAAATAACATTGTAAGAGTTTCAAAAGCAAAACAGCCCCCACTGGACTTTCATTTCTATTAAAGGAGGTAAATGAGAATGTATAGCATTAACTGTAGGTGTGTGCAGGCTGGGAAGGGGCTGCGGTGCAGAATGCATGAGGCAGATGAATCAGTGCTGTAAGAGAGGGGGGAGCAGTGCAGTTTGGAGCCCCTGTTGATAGGGAAGCAGCAGGGGGTGGCGTTGGGCCAAGGGAAGCATGGGGCTGCAGGCAGGCCTTGGGTCTGCTGAGCCTTAAGTCTTGTGTGGAATGGATTAATCACAGAAGGGCCAGGGTTGGAAGGGATCTCAAGGATGATGAAGCTCCAACCCCCTGCCACGCACAGAGCCACCAACCTCCACACTCGCTACCTGCCCAGGGCCCCATCCAACCCGGCCTTGAACACCTCCAGGGATGGACGGGGCACCACAGCCTCTCTGGGCAGCTGTTCCAGCACCTCACCGCTCTCATAGCAAAGAACTTCCCTCTGACATCCAGCCTCAATCTGCCCTCCCTCAATTTAAAACCATTTCCCTCAACTTCAAACCATTTCCAACTGCTGCCGATAGGGAAACGAGTGACCGGCGGACGGGAGGACCGATCCGCCCGTGTCCGTCTGTCCGTTCCGCCGCACCGCCCCGCTTCCAGCCCCGCAGCACCGCCCCCGCCGCTCACGTGCTCCAGTGCCGTCACGTGATCAGCACCGCCTGACCGGAGCTCCGCACCTCGCTGACTCCTTCAGCCAATCGGCGTCGTTCTTTTCGCTGCCAACCAATAGGGATCGGGAGGGGCGGGGCTCTGCGGCGCAGGCAGAGGGCCGGGCCGGGCCGACATGGCGCTGCAGTTCGGCGGTGCGGGCGCGGCGGGCGCGGCGGAGGAGCCGGCGCTGGTGGGGGGCAGCTTCGGGGCGGCCGACTCGTTCCCTAAAGACTTCGGCTACGGGGAGGAGGAGGAAGAGGCTGAGCTGGAAGGCGGCCCAGGGTCCGGAGGGCCAGGAGGCGGTGCGGGAGGGCCCGGGGGCGGCGCGGGCGGGGCGGACTCGAAGCCGCGGATCCTTCTGATGGGGCTGCGGCGCAGCGGAAAGTCCTCCATCCAGAAGGTGAGGGGCGGCTGAACCCCCCGGCACAGCCGCTATCGAGGGGCGTTGGGCGGCTGCGTCCTCCGAACGGGGGGTCCGACATCCGCCCCGTGCTGCAGAGCCGTCCGTCCCTTCCTTTGCAAAACGCGCGCCGGGTGTTAGCGAGCAAACTTTGCCTTTGGATCGCTCCGCCGTTGCTTTCCAGTTATTTGTTGTTAACTGGGCCTGATGCTCCCGCTCCGTGTGCAGATGCAGCGTTTGGACTGATTTATTTTCTAAGTCTCTAAACGATGTGAATGACAGCCAGCAGACAGATTGATTGCGTTGTTTGCAGTCAAAATTTGTGAAACTTAAAAGTCGGGGGGAAGCTGCAACCTCAGGCATCTGGTGGGAAGTTGCTGAAACCATTGGATTGTGAAAGTGCAAAAGGAACACTTGGAAAGGCAAAGCCATGCTGAAGAAGATCAGCTCTTTGTAGCACTTTCCAGGCCTGTCTGCTCTGCTTGTGTTTGCCTGGTGTCACTTGCCTGTATTAGAGCCAACTCTGTGCTTCCAGTTGGATTCTACCACGACTTTTTCCTTTGCTTTATCCAAGTTGTTTAAATCTAGAAAGAATGGGGGTAGACGCTAGGCAGCAGAAGTGGGATTTGATCCAGGCTGTGTCCTGATCAGTCTGAAGGGAGGGAGGATGAGCTCACTGCTTCTCAGAGACTCGTCTGCTTTAACCTTTGCTCCCAGTTTCTGCCTCGTTCTTTGTGAAAGATGCTGAGCTCCAAAGGAGTGCTGATTTCCAAATTGCTTTACAACTGAGTTCTTCAAACCCTGCTGAGCTTTTAGTCCTTACAGTAAGGCTGGAACCTATCTAGAACTGTTCTCTCT